AAAAAAAAAAAAAAAAAAAAGAAGCTAACTCCCCAACGCTGCCTCTCTGAAAATGGCGGATATGCCGACGGAGAAGAGCCTGGACGACTTCTTCGCGAAGCGGGACAAGAAGAAGAAGAAGGAGAAGGGCAAGGGCAAGGAGCCGCCCGCCGGACTCGTGTCTGCGGCGGTGAAGAAGACGAAGAGGGAGAAGGAGAAGTCGACGAAGAGCGAGAACCAGGACGCGCAGATCGAGAAGGTAACCGACGCAGCTTCTCTCTCCCCCCCCTCCCTCCCTCCCTCCCTCCCTCCACCTCGCCGCCGGTTAGCAGTCTTTCCTCCGCCGCGTCGTGTCACACCGAGTGTCCCGGTCACAGTCGGTGCTCTGCCCGCAGCCACCCTCCTGACAGGCCGCTGTTATTCCGCCCGGTTATCACGTAAAACCCCGGGATTCAGTCCAGCATGCGGGGAGGAGGAGGAGGAGGAGGAGGAGGGGGGGGGACGCCGGTTGCTAGCTAGCATATGTACACCACCCCACCCCCACCCCCCCGGCACGCGTTAGCACAACACGTTTCTTCAACAACCTCGGTTTAATGCTAGCAGCTGCTGCCTGGTGCTGGATACTCAATGTTAGGCCTCGTTCATTTTGAACCGCGGTGTCAGTGGCCTAGTGTTTCCACGGGCGAGCTGTCATCCCCCCCCCCCTCTCCTCCTAGCCGAGAATCCAGCAAGGCCGGGCCGCCATTAGTCACAAGTTCTCACGGGGGCTAACAGCATGAGAGCTTCCACATCACACGAAGCTCAGGGATCCAACCCGGCTCTGCATTAAGAGCTGAACCAGGTGGATCCACACCGTGCAGCCCTGCCTCTGTGAGGCCAGTAATCCGGGGGGTTCAGATCAGGGCCTGGATCCAGATGTGCACAATCTGGATCCAGGCAGCACAATCTTTTTTTCTTTCCTCTGTGTGGTTTCACTGTGTTGTGTTCTTGAGTTAATGTTTCCGTCTGCCCAGGAGGACGAGGAATGGAAAGAGTTTGAGCAGAGAGAAGTGGACTACAGTGGTCTCCGGCTCCAAGCTTTACAGATGAGGTGAGATGGAAATGTGTGGTTGTCAGGAGTCCTCGTCATTTGCATGTCAGTGCCACCAGCTGAGGGCTGGTATTGTTATATCACGGATATTGATTTGACCGTGGTTAGATAGAGAGTCTGCATCAGTAAGAGTTTGATCCACATGTTTCTGGAGCTTCCTCTGCATCGTGGCAGATTCAGATGATAAAAAATACAATTATCTCAGCTTCAGATTTATAGATAGATATGTTTTCAGGACTGTATTCCAGTTATCAAGCTATTATAAGGTGAACATATTATTTGGATTGATGCACGACACAGGGAAGTATTATAAAGCACTCGCAATGTTTATAAGCATAACATCAGCAAAAGGTTTTTTATCTCTGTTTTTAAAATGTTTAAATCTCAAATTCCATCCCCCCTTATTTTAATCAGTTGTTTCTGTCGTGGTGCAAACATTCAGATATTACATGCTCATAAATTCATTCATTTATCAACTTGTTTCACACATCTTTGTCAAATGGAACCAGATAATATAGGACACCATTTCACTGCGAACGTTTTGGTTAGAGATAAACTCTTCAGATATGACGTGTGTTTCCATTCAAATGATTTTAGATGAGACAAACATAAGCAGAGGTAAACCTGACCTTTCACTGTCTGGAGGCTCTTCATCTCTTCTCAACTGTCCGTCTGGTTGTTTGCAGTGACGAGAGAGAGGAAGATGAGTACGAGAAGGAGGAGGTTGGTGAGGATGGAGAGATCATTCAGGTCAGCGGAGACAAGATGTCGGGGCCCTGGAACAAACCTGGAGCTGCTCCTCCTCCTGCTGCTGCGCCCGTCGGTGGGTAAACCAACTTCAGCCCTCCTTTGTTTCCAACATAAGACCTGAGGGTTGAAAGAGGAAAATATTACTTTCTAAAGGTTCAGAACTCCGATGACACTTGCTTGTAAACGTAAAACCTGTGTTGGTCTTAAGGCTCCTGTAAGCGTACGATAGTTTAACTGTGCATTCCAAGCCACATAAATAAAGTGCCTTTTAGTTTTATTTATTTTTTAAGTAATGATACACGGCCTGAGGCTGTTTTAAACATCTAATAACTGGGGGTTATGTATTGTGAGATTAGTAAGTAAAACTGGGATCAACCCAGAGAATGTGGTTTCTTGTCTAACACGTCGTCTCTTTGCTTTCAGAGGAGGAAGAGGTTCCCGAATCGAAGCCTTCTGGCGTATATCGCCCTCCGGGGGCTCGGCTGACCACCACCAAACGAGGTCCCACTCAAGGCCCTCCTGAGATCTTCAATGACGCACAGTTCCCCTCTCTACTGAGCACAGCCAAGCATGTGGAGACACGCAAGTAAGAATAGTTTGTTTAAAATGGTATATTTAAGTAATTTTTCTGTTCAGCTACCTGACCAGTTGCTTTCAACACTTAAGTTATACATCTGTCTTTTAGGGACAGAGAAATGGAGAAGACCTTTGAGGTTGTGAAACACAGGAACCGTGGTAGAGATGAGACCAGTGGCGCTTCTATGCAGCAGTTGCAGCTTGACAACCAGTACGCAATCCTCGGGGATAAGTAGAGCCGCTCCCCTCCGTCCCCTGGCCCCTCCAGCACGGTCCTGCCCAGCCCCTCGAAGGAAGCTGAACTCCAGCTATGTGGACTGCAGTCCTGACCGAGCTCATGCTGCCTCTATCACCACACTGGTTACTTACACAAACACACAGGCCTGTATTCACACACACACACAAACACACATACATAGATTCACACACAGCAGCACACACACACACACACACACATATAGTGACACTCCCTTTTAATTAGATCAATTCAACGCGTCACACACATTTGGTTGGCAAACCTAAAGGACTGCATCTGAAGGGGCTGTTAAAAGAGGGAATAATAGAAAAGGAATTAGCAAAATACACCCAATCGTACAACACTGCAGCAACATCCAACCACAACAACAACAACATAGTTGTCCTTTGGGATTGTACTCAGAGCAGCGGTTGTATGGCGCAACTTCTCTCTGGACTTCAACTTGCTTTGATAAAGCCACTGAGGATCGAAGAAGACTTTAGGCAAGATGATTTTACAAACTTCTGTGAAAATATCTATTTTTTTGCAAGATTGCTATAACCCAATCGCACATGGTTATTTTGAGGTGTGTTTTTGAGTTGCAATTGGGGTTTGGGAGTGGGGAAACTACCTCAGCAGCACAGCTGGTGGTGACCATGTGGACTGAGCTGTTTTTTTCCGCTGTGGTGGTAAAGGGGGCAAACACCAATCCCCCCACATAAGAGCTGGCCATCAGGCTCTTCGATTTAGAAACTTGAAGCTATGTTTTTTTCCCCCTCATCATGGTGATGATGATGATGATGACACCCTGCTGAGATCTATGGACAAGAAGGGATAGGTTGTGGTCCTCATTTAGAATTTCTATATTAAGTGGCCTTACTGATAGAAACTGCTTTGTCATCTGAAGAGAACATTGCTTGTTGTCTCCCGGGCTGTTGCCTGCCTCTGGATCTCACCACTTAGTGAAAAAGACCAACATACAAATGAAAAGAATCCTTCTGTTGAAGAATGTAGTGCTGATGTAGTTTGCCTGATGATTTCAACTACTAACTGTCTTTCATATCCACTGTTTGATTTTGCTTCCCTGACGTTATTTTGCTATCTTTTAGACATCCACAAGAGAGTAACTAAAGCTAGCTTCTAATCCGAATCATTCTTCTGGCAACAAATGCTTTACTGTCATTTGACAGCATTTCAGTTGTCACAGATGTTACAATGCCAACAAAAGACTTATCTTAGTTTTTTTTATCCTTTCCTCCATGATTATCAGACTTTCTCAGCCCTCATTGCAACTGTGTAGAACTGGTAGTGTGTGAATAAGTTCATCTCCAGAGAGTTACAGTGACCGCTGGTCTGTAAATACAAACTGTCACCAAACCATCATGAGTGCTATCCACGTCCAAAACAGTGGTTTGCCCAGTTCAAATCAAATGGGTTTTTACTACAAGCTTAGTTATGTTTAGAGAGGTGAAGATGAACTGGATTTATGTTCTGTGTTTCTGTCCTTTCCATACAGATGTTAGGGAAGGTTGATCCCTGCTGGGACACTTCATGTGGACAGATATTTGTGATGAAAAGAGAAGAGTCTAACACAAAAAAATAAAGTGATCCTCTTGAATTAAGTCTCGTCTGAATTTTTAAATTGAAAAATTTCATTTTTTACAATTTTTTTTCTTGTGTTACGCTCCCATATACATTTCGTTTATTCCTGTGATGTCTCAAGTAAGTGGAAACTTATGTTAAAGTGGCAACATGTAGTTTTTTAACAACCATCCAAAACCACCAAATGACCCTCAAACATTTCAAATAATCTCAACATGAAGCATACTGAATACTTTGGAAGTCTGCTGCAAAATCCTAAATATATTCTTTGAAAAATCTTCATATAACACATTCTTAACTTTTACACTTTGATCTGTACATCTTGTAATGTAGAACTCAACAATAGTCTGACTTAAATTGAGAGAAATAGGCATTTCATTTTTT